GAGCGCCAAAGAAGCTGCATGAAGACAACCTTGAGACCATCTTAACCCTAGAAGCATGCAGGCCCTATATAAAGGGCATGAGCCGGTCTATCCGGGAAGCGCGCAGGCCCTATATATAGAGCTGACCTACTTCAAATGGGAAGCGGGCAGACCCTATATTTAAGGACTTTAGACATTGACCTTTTTCAACGGAAAATTTCAGTATTCCAGCGGAATATGACATAGTAGATTACAGGTCAGTTATAAATAGGACCAATGACTTTGCAAGTTATGTTGACCTCGTAGATCATCTCTTGGCCAAGGTATCGATCGATAAATTGACATGCTCCAGCTTAGCGACTACACATTATTATGTGTAATATCACTTGCTCCGCTGTGCTAATGTACTAATTGGTGAGTTTATCGCGTTTTGCGCTTTGTTTGTATAATTTTTTTATAGCTCATTTTTGAATGGCTCATTCTATAATTTTAAAAGTAAAGATATGGTTTTAAGCCTTTTACATCCGTTGAGCCATCAATGGTCATTTAACAGATACATCTCGTGCTATTTATCCCCCACCAAACCCCCATGTCTACAACCGATCGGCCCTGGCGGCGGGCCATTTTTGGCAGGTTACTTCCAGTGAAACGCTGAGCGTTTCTAGGGTTTTAACACTTTCCACCCACGCAGCGCATAGAGTGCGCAACAATTATCCCCACGGACCAGGACACAGGTGCGATATATGCACACTAGGTCTAGATCACACCGGCGCCGATCGGCATCCCGTGGGGAAAAGGGACGGCTTCTTAACTTCGCCGATCGGCATCCCGTGTGGACAAAGTGTTAAGCTAAAGGCAAGCTAAATTGACCATCTGCATGACGAAAAGAGTAAAATGTGACCACCCAATAGGCCTTTAGAATCATAATAATTGCAGATATAGGCCTAGATTGTCTAGATCTGGATCTATTCTAGATCAAATTATATGATCTCTCTATGACAAGCAGGAAGGCGGAATACAGTCTGGCTTCTTTAGGCCTAGACTCTACTATATATGCTTAGGCCTAGATTCTATCAAATTATTATTTATTTTAATTAAGACTGTACTAAGGCTTCGGAGTGTCTACGTACAAGGTAACCGGGCACCTAGTCTCAGTATCTATGTACACGGTAACCGGAATGAAAATAAATCAATATTTGTCCTGTGCTGTCACTTGCTGAAAAAAAAAAGTCGTGTCTTGTCGGGCTCGCCATCGTGACCGGTCAGTGAACCTGTGAATGCACACAGTACCTGTTGGGGTCACCAAAGTTCATTCAAAGTCTGTGCGCTGTGAAGTAGGGCTCCGGAATAGGGGGGTATTTATTGATTTTTTAAAAAGGTACAGTCGGGGGAGGGGTGGGGATGAAGGCAACACCGGATGACGAAAACTGAACTTGAGTTCTGAACTGCCCGGTTACCGTATACATGACCGAAGTGACTATTCGGAACTCGAGTCCGAATATGAAAAAATGTTATTCGGACTCTGATTCTTGTCCAGCATGACATTACTTCCGACTTACGACTTCCTGTGACTCGTGACTCCGGCTTCCTGTCCTGCCTCACTCGTGACTCGCCTCAGGCTGGGTAGAGACCGGGATCACTTCAGGCAAAATGGCGTTTTGTGCAGGAGCCGAGTTTTTATCTTACGATGAATTTGAGGCCGGCCTGAAAAGTTATAGCGCTTGTGATAAATGTTTATTTGTCAAAAGGTCACCAGAAGCAATTAAAGATGGCTCGTTAGCGTGTGTCGGGGTCGGAAGGGCGGCCTGCACACGTGTCGCTGTGTGTGCGTGTCGGGGTGGGGGCATTATCGGTCCGGGCGTTGAACGTCGCTTACGCGTCTGTCTTTTGTCCCCCGGCAACTGATCACTATTACAATAATAAGCCAGTCTTGACGTAGATCTACGTAATGAATTGTGCGCTCGTCTATGGAATCAAAAGTTGCCGTATGCTCGGCTCTACACAGCAACACAACTTTTTTTTGGTAAACAATCGAGATGACACAGGCTTGTGTATTTGAACGAATCTGTCTTTTTTTTTTTTTTACACAGCTCATAATGTGTAGGTCCCAGGTGGTCTGCTAATCTTCAATTTTACCTTTTTCTACAACAAAGAAACAGGGAAACATGGGGGGTGGGGGGGCGTATCAATGAGGCGGCGGGCATATGATCGGCAGATAAGTGTGGGGGAAACTAAAAAATGGCGGAAAATTGGAAGCACTGAACGTTAGATCTATAGAAAGAAGACACTTCCTTTTTTTTTTCCAGACCCGGGTCCGAATAACATTTTTTCATATTCGGACTCGAGTCCGAATAAGAATTTTTTTTATTCGGACTCGAGTCCGAATATGAAAAAATGTTATTCGGACTCGAGTCCAAATAACGACGGCCATACGTGACACTGAAACTATGTACCCGTTTGCCGGTTACCGTGTACGTAGATTGAGGCTACATGCCCGGTTACCGTGTACAATGTACTTGACATTGAGACTAGGCGCCCGGATGGGGCTTACCGTGTACGTAGACACTGAGGCTAGGTGCCCGGTTACCGTGTACGTAGACACATTGTCATTACTGGATGTGTAGGCTATGTCAGTGAGAATACTGAATTTAAACTCGGTAAGCCAGTAAGCCTGGGCCTACTGTCAAAGTAGGACTAATTAAATGACAGTAGTGTCAATTGCCAAAGAGTAAATTGGAGCTCTTTTGTGTTTGTGGGTAGATCTAGCTTATTGTGCTCGAGTGCTCGGTGTTGTGCTTTCGTGTGTGTGTGTGTGTGTGTGTTTGTCTTTTCCTGACGGAAGTAGCCATCCTCACCCGGGGTGAGAATAAAAATACGATCGACCTCTCACCCCGGATGAGACATGCCACTGTTGGCTATTCTCACCTGATATGAAACAAGACCTGTTTTTCCTAATTTCGGAGTACTTTCTATTGGTGTGGATGATCAAATGGATAAAAGCAAAGGAAAATTTACGTTATAGCCCAAAAGTAAGCTAATTTGATCATCTACAAAGATGCTATGGCTATTTCACTTTTCGAATCCAGCCGAACTACGCGAGTCGCCATTTTGTTTTGCCCGAAAGTTCTCGCAAGATCTACTCCTCCCCTCTTCTCTCTCTCTGTCTCTTTCTGAATACTGTCTCTATCGGTGTGGACCATCAATTTGACCAAAACAAAGTTAAAAAATGATGTTAAAAAAACACAAAAGTAAATTAATTTGGTCGTCTACAAAGATGCTACGGCTATTTAACTTTCGAATTGAGCCGAACTACGCGGGTCTCCATTTTGTTTTGCCCGGAAGTTCTCGCGCTACTCCTCTCTCTCTCTCTCTCTTTCTCTCTCTCCATTGCCCACAGACAAAATTGTACGCTTTTAGGCTAACAATAGTAATGGAACGTTTGTTCACGGCACAGAATTCTACAATTTTTCAGTTATCACAATGTAGAATTCTGTGGTTCATGTTGAACGCAAAATTGGTTGGCCTAGAGGTAGACTATAACGGTGAACGCACATCGGGTGAGAATAGCCAAAAGACTCGCCTGCGCTATTCTCACCCCGGGTGAGAATAGAGTGTGGCCTTTCCTTCCTGACCCCCGTCCCCCGATTTATGTTCCCCGATATAACGTGAATTTCTGCTTGAGTTTGTGTGCATTTGTGACCTTCTAGGCCTACTTCTAGAATTGCCTGTGTTGGTTCTAAATCTAGATCTAGATACGTCTCATTGAAAACACGCCAAGTTGGTACCGTAGCTCTAGACTAGATGCTCGTCCAATGAAATTAGTTGAGAACAAATAGACCCATTGGACACACATTATATGTATAAAGATAGAGTCTAGTGTTGTTTTCAGACTTGACACTGCTTCACTCGGTGGCAATTGACAAAAGTCAATTTTTGTCAATTGCCACCGCGTCACTCGGTGGCAATTGACGCTACCGTAAATGACACACACACACATACATATATATAAGACCTAGATCTAAATCTAGATCTAGATCTAGATCTAGATCTACATAGATCTAGAATCTAGAGAATCTAGAAGTCTGTAATAGTGTGACTTCCGGCAGTTGTCAAACTGACTTTTTCACAAACAACACAATTCAAGCTGATCACTTGCTTTGAAATCAAATGTGTTTCCATCTAGATTTCTAGATCTAGATTCTAGATTATATACAAAATACCCTGCAAAGTGCACAGTACTAATTAAATGTCCACAAAAACAAACCTGACGTAAAAATGACGTTTAATGGGCACAAAGTCGGAGAGGACAAGAGTCACCGACAAAGTGTTATGCCATCTTGAATATTATCATAAGACATAAACAGCTACTTTCGGTTTTGAACTTCCTGTTTAGCCTTCATCTCGTGACGCATAGAATGTCGTGACGTTAGCTGTTGATATTCCCAGACTGCTGAGAATAGTCACACGCCTCTGAATGATTTGCTATCCCCAAGTCGCATTTTACATTAGGATTTATGAGTAGGCCTAAGCAGGACACCTTGAAGTTTATAACAGAGGGGCTTTGCTTGCTCGCGTTAAATATTAGATGTATAAATCTAGATCTAGATCTAGACTACAGCATTAAACCTTTCTGTATTCTTGGTCAAAGAGCAACAGCATAGAAAGTGCAGTTGTCCCTCCAATAGTCATATAATTGTTCAGACCGCGATTACAAATTAGAAAAAAATGGCATCCTGCAGTTGGTTCCGTTCATTGTGACAGCTCTCTTTTTTCTTTCTTTTTTGTGAGTGTACGGCTCACAACTGCATAAGGTCATAATATGAGCGCACCGGGACACACCAAACATTTTCAGTTGGTGGGACATTTTGAATTTTGCCCGGGTGGCGTCCGAAGCCTACTATAATATATAGGCTACAATTTAGACCACCAATAATTTGAGGGATTTTTAGCGTGCGCAACTTGCACAAGGGACCTCCGAGATTTTTTCGCCTGTTCAAAAAGGCTAGGTGTAGCCTAGATTTTTCCTACCAGAAGATCAGGGGTGTGGCTGAAAGCCAGCAGTTTAAGAGGGAACTAAAAAAATGGTGTCGAAACAGTAGGTTTAACGCCCCTATCAAGACTTATAGGTTATTTAAGGGGCGGGACCTCCTAGTTTAACGTTCCTCTCCGATAGGACCGAGCCAAGTGGGAAGTTCGTGTAAAGTGCCTTTCCCAATGAGATTAAAAGTAATGGAGGATGCTCCGTGGGCGGCACCGCACGCCTGATAGGAGCCCTCTCTCGCGGCGGAACTGTGGTCTACCTGCGGTGAGAGAATCCCCGACTCAAGCACTGAAATCTAGATAAGAAAGAATGTTTTATTCCAAGGTCCTTGAGATTAGGCAAGTCAATTAGTAAAAATGCCTTGCATATGTGTTGTATTTAAATTTAAGTGTAAGAACCGATATGATGCTGCAGTGGACCGAAGTTTTCAGTTAAGTTGTTTTCCTTTTAAAAAATTTGAATGAAAGTGTT